TTTTTTTTGGGATGTGGGATCGTTAGTTTGGCTTAGAGAAGGAGGAGGGAGGGAGAGGGAAGGGGGGAAGAAGGAGGAAGTGGAAACGAGGGAAGAAGGGAAAGGAGGAGGGAAAGGAGGAGGGAACGAGGGAAGAAGGGAAGGGGGGAAGAAGGAGGAAGTGGAAACGTGGGAAGAAGGGAAAGGAGGAGGGAGGAGGGAAAAAGGGAAAAAGGGAAGAAACGCACCAAAAGGCCCAAGGTACCCAAACCACTTCCGATGCCGGTGCGCGAAGTCGGAGTTGAGGAAGCGCGCGAACCCGGGGATGGAGACGACTGCTATGAACCTGGCGAGGTTGGGGCCTACGTAGAGTGTAGGTAAGTAAAGATAAAGATAAAGATAGAGTGGGTTGGGGGAGAGGACAGGAAGGGAAAGACAGGGGAAGGGGAAAGACAGACCAGTCTGCAAGCTCGTGAGCTTCTCGTACGCCTCTGCGAGCTCGTTGTGTGGGTTGTGCAGCGAGTCGGTAGTGTACCCGAAGGCGGTCGCGCAGATTATGTCGAGGGTGGCTTTGGCCACTGTATATATAGATATCATGGGTTCGTGTTGAATTGGATTGGGAGGAGGGGATTGATAAGGGCAAGGGCAAGGGAAGGGAAGTGTGTGTACGCACACCACTCGTACATGAGCAGCTCCGCGCCGTTGTGCGGGTCGGGCTGGGCGTCGATTTGGGCGTTGATGAGTTCGACGAGGCTAGCGTAGCGGGTGGGCATCAGTGAACTTGAAGGGAGGATCGAGGGACCGTCGACGTACCTTTCGATAGCATCATAGTACATGTCGCTTTCTACAACGGAATGGAAGATGCGGTCAGTGGCGTTTGACAGAAGAGACGGTAGATGCGGAAGAGTAGAGAGGATGGTGATGGGCCCAGGTTCCGACGGGATGAAGGGAAAGAATTGAAGAAGCCAGACGTACGGGCCATCAGGTTGTTTATGGAGAAGGCTGGGTTCATGGCCTTGCGCATCTGCTTGTGCTCGTTGCCTGTGACTGTGAGCAGGCCGTAGCCCGCTACGAGGCCGAGGGTATCCCGCATGAACTTGGGCTGTAAACCGTTGATATTAGAAGGACGAGCGAACGAAACGAGTACTCACACGGGGATAATCCACCCAGTCGCTGACCAAAATCTTCTGGCACGCCTCGGGGCTCATGAAGATGAGCCTCTCAATACCGAGCGGGCCCACGGCACGGACGACAGGCCCATGCTCCTTGACCCACTCGCGCTGGGCGACACCCGCTTCGGTGCGCATGATCTCCGCGAAGCGCCCGTAGATGGGGTCGCCGAGGGGCGGGCCGGGGAGGTTGCGCAGGGGAGAGAAGAAGCGGGGGTAGAGGAGGGTGGTGTAGAGCAGCCTGGAGATGAGGTAGAGGGCGATGCTGAGGGTGAGGTAGAGGGCCATGGGACGCAAGTGGGAGGCGTGGGTCCAGGTGCGCTCGAGGAGGCTGCTTAGCACGGGTGACATGGGTGGCTAGCTTGCAGGAGGGAAGGGGGGAGGACGGATAGACGACATCCGTAAGATATAGTTGGATGGCCCATCAGCCATGTGAATTCAGCCATGGGAGACTATGCCATACCTGTCCTCTCCTGTATGGAGTCCGTTTCAAGCGCACCTGACAGTCTTCTCACTCAGACTGTCACTCTTCAACTCGACGACCATGGCGCTCCCAAAGTCCCGCACCCTATAGCTATGCCTTTCCCTTAGCATCCTTCCCACCTTCCCATCTCCTCCTTTCCTTCCTTCTTCCCTTGTGCCCTTCGACGATGAGGCCTGAGGTGCGTTTCGGGTTTGGGGCCACGCGTGCAGCGCAAACGATGGCCACTGGGCGTGGGGGTAGTACTTTAAGAAAGGGAGATCATGGGATGATGTTCGACGGCCCCGCTCGCTTTCCTTTCCGTATCGCCTTCATTTTTCTGCCTCGCGATCCCAGTAAATAAGACAGGAATCAATTAATCACCACCGGTAGCGAGGATTAGGCCAGGAAGTGGTAAATTTGGAAACAGTTTAACTGAGCCAGGAGGACGGGCCGATGATGTGAGAAGCAGCTCGAATGGAAAACTACATAGTGATGGAAGAAGGTTCAAAGGTGCATCTCTTAAACAGTTCTTGTTCTTTATTCTGGTTGAACTCAAACGCAGCCATTGATTGTGCATTCCCGGTATCAACTACACTTAGGCTGGAAGCCCTTACGAATGGTCGGAA